CGGGCCCAGCCTCTTTCCCCGCGGCGCTGGCGCGCTCAGCTCTCTGCCAGTCGCGCACCGGGGGCCGAAGCGCATGTGGGAAAGTGATTAGACCCCCAGGTTCGGCAGCCACCTTTCGGCAATGGTGGGATGTGTACACATCTAGCTGAGAACAGTTTACCACCGAAGAAGGGAAAGTGAATGAGAGGACCAACTTGTCCAAGACGGAAGCCGAGTTGTTCCCTTGGGGGAGCGGTGGGGGAGGGAACCCAGCCCATCTGGTGCCAGGGTCCTCACGTCAGCAGGGATGCAGGCAGGGGGAGGTCGGGCAGGTGGCGCTCAAGTGACCCCAAGTGCTACCAAGGCAGAAGGGCGGCGTGAGGAGCACCCACGTCCATGGTGAGCGGGACGCCCCAATCCCTGCCCCTCGGAGGTCCCCGAGTTTCCAGTACCCTTGCGCTGCCCGCCGCAGCCAGCCCCTCGGAGCCCGGGCCTGGGCTGGGGCCTCGGCATCCTTGGCTCTTCCCGCCGCCGCGGCGGATCCTGTTACCTGCGCCGTCCGCCCGCCCCGCCCCTCCCCGCGGGATGCGCCTTCCTTGGAGCTCCGGTTCCAAACTCCCGGGCGACCTCAGTTATTTCCAGGGCAAATCTTGTTAGGAACGTCGCAGCCCTGGACCCGTAACTCCGCCTTGCGGCGTGTACCGCGACCCTCCACGTCCCCTTTCGGCCCACCCCGTAGCGTGAAGGAAACCCCCAACCCCTATCCTGCCGAGGCTGCCTCCTGGGCACGGACCGCTCGCCGCTATAAATAATCTTTGGCCTGCGGCCACCCTGCGGGGTCTCGCCAGCCCGTGGCTCAAAGCCTGGAAATATTTATTCTGAGAGGCTCCGGAGCGCGAGCCCAGGGAGGGGGAGCGAGCCTCCAACTTCGAATCCAGCCATCCCGAGACCTTGTCCTTCCTGCAAGTCGTTGTTCAAAAGTCTCCCATTGTTTGCCTTCTCTATTGCGCTCTCGGCCCTATTTCCCAGGATTGAGGCCAGCCGTGAGAAATAAACGCACGGGCGTGAGGGCGGGGCCGGGGCCGGGGGCCAGGTGAATGGCTTTCGGGCGGAGGCTCGCCGCCCCTCCCCCTCGGGCTGGGCGCCTGGGTCTGTAGACGTCCCCTCGGGGCGATGGGCGCCCTAAGCGCGGGCTCTTGTGTGGCCTCCGCAGGGTTCTGGCTTCCAGTCGTCGCGGAGGGAGAAATATGGCAACGTGTTCAAGACGCACTTGCTCGGGCGGCCACTGATCCGTGTGACTGGCGCCGAGAACGTGCGCAAGATCCTCATGGGCGAGCACCACCTCGTCAGCACCGAGTGGCCGCGCAGCACGCGCATGCTGCTGGGCCCCAACACCGTGTCCAACTCCATCGGCGACATCCACCGCAACAAGCGCAAGGTAAGAAGTTTGCAGCGGCCGCGAGCCTCCGGACCGTGTTCTGACTCGCCTCTCCCTGGGTTCTCTGTCCGAGTAAGGAGTTTGCGGAGCCCGGGGAGGTCCCCAGCCGAATCGGTGCCCCCATTTCCCCATCCTTCCCCCGGACCCGCTGTGTCCCGCCGAGGTTGCTTCGAATTCCTATTCCGGGGCCTTCACCGGCATCCTCCCGGGGAGGGTGGGGGTGTCTCCCGAGGAACACCGGGCGCAGCGGCAAGTTTTGGGGGGAAGTGGTTTGGACCGAGCGGTGATGTACAGAGACTGAGGCGTCCAGCGCCTCGTCGCCGCCTTCGACCGAGTGGGAGTTGGTAAAAGAAAGGGGAGGGACCCGGGCTGGCGCGCCCTGCTCGCCACGTCTGCCCCGGGAATCTTGCGTACTGAAATGAAACCTGGTTTTCCCGCCACCGGTTGCTTTCTGGGACTCGAATGGCTGGCGCGAGCGGGCGCGGGGGTTGGGGGGCACCTGGTGGGGCAGCAGTAGCCGGTCCTCCCCTACTAGGAGTTAGGGGTAACTGGGACCACCGCGTGAACTGGCGGGGGATGGCGGAGGGGAGGCGAGGGGTGGGCGGGCAGCCGAGGCACGGGCGGGGGATCAGAGTGCACCCCCCACCACCATAACCCCCCATAAAGAGGAAGAGAAAGTGGGTGTTTATCCTGTGGATTTCCCGAGCGGCTGGAAGAGGCACGGAGGAGGCGAGCCAGCGCACCCAGAGCAAGGCTCCCCGCCCCCTCCTCCTCGCCGCCGCCGCCGCCGGGGCTCCAGAGCGCGGGCGGCACGTGCTGTTTGAACTGCAGTAACCCGAAAGCTGAGCCGGCGGCGGGCGGGGCGCCGCGCTGCAGGCAGAGAGCGACCCGAAGCGGGGCTCCCCGGCCCACCCCCTCCATTTTTTTCCATTGGGTCAGAGGACTCGCTCAGGTTGGAACATAAAGGAAAGGGAGAGGCCTTCGCCGACCTCCCCGAGGAGGGAGCAGGGCTGGGAGGGAGGTGTTGGGGGGGGGGGTAGGGGAGGGGCAACGGCGGGGAGCTCCCCTCTTCCGGAAGACTAAGAGGTGGTCTTGATGAATGTGGGTAATGCTGCTGGCCAGGTATGGCCCCTGCCTTCTTCTGAGCGCCAGTGAAAGGGTGTGCGCCCCGTGAGGAAGGGGGAAAGCATGTATTTATTTCAGGGACTGGGTCAGGGCTTCCAGACCCACTTCTTCCATCCACCGCACTTTCAGAAAGAGGCAGCTTTCTGACAATTGTGGGGGAGGTGTTGGGTGGGAGGGTGTCACAGCTCTAAGAATAGGGGCTTTTCAGATATGGGGCACAATTCCTTAGGTCTGGTGGCTCTGCCAAAGCTTGTCCCAAAGTGTGAGGGACCGAGGTTGGTGAGGGATAGCCTGAGACTCAGCACCAAGGTGGACTTCTTTTCATCGTCCGGGGGTCTAGTTAGGAAAGGATCTGTGACCCTCTAGTATAGTCACACCCCAGGACCTAAGCAGCTGGGGTGACCTGGGCCAGGTCAGGAAGCAGAGAAAAGGCAGGATTCCAGCATTCATGGGAACTGTTTCTGGCTCACCAAGCAGGAGCCCTGGTAGTGTAGTGGTTATGCACTGGGCTGCCAACCAGAATGTCAGCAGTTCAAAACCACCAGCAGTTCTACCCTGTCCTATAGGGTCACTCTGAGTCAGCATCACAGGGGGCAGCTGGGTCAGACTCGGGCCTGGTTAGGATGTATTCACAGGAAGTAGGGTGCAGGTGCTCAGGGGCCCTGTTGCCATGACCTGGTGATGTCACAGTTTCCATCCGAGCTGGTGCCGCCTCCCCGCCTTCTCTGGGAGGTCTACCAGATGTGTGGAAGGGGGCTCCCCACAGTCGTGGCTGCCCTCCAGGTGTTTGCCCCTGCTGCCCCTGGTGGTCTTGGCCAGTAGGGGTGGGTTGTCAGGGAAAAGGCCCAGAAAAGTTTGTCCTCTCTGGAAGCCAGACCTGTGTCCCACAGCCAGGATCCCTCCCTCCCTCTCTCCCCACTCCTCTCCCCCCCATCCTGGAGCCTCACCCACCCATTCAGCTGCCCCTGCTGCAGGGCAGAGGGCTCATTCTGTACGTGTGAGCAGCTGGGTATTGACCTAGATGGGTGGATGGAGTCTTGTTGGGAGTGGGGAAGGCATGGGGGAGGGGGGACAAGTTCAGTGGCACAGATCTAGTGTTAGGTAGTTCTGGAAGCTGCACATGCCTCAATCCTCCCCACCTCCCCCCAGCCAGGGCTAGGTTGTGCCCTGCCTGCTGCCCCTCCCCCATCCCTGCCCAACTTCTTTCTCCCTTCTGTTCTCACTCCACTCACCTCTTCTTCCACGGGGGTGGGGGTGTGTGTGAGGGGATGGGGGGGTGCCTCTGCATCAGCTGCATCCCCCCTCCACCTTTGGAGATGGGCCTGGGCCTGGGCCTCTTTCCATCAACAGCAGCTTCAGGCCACCCCCAAGATACTTTCAGGGAATTCTGCCCCCACCCCCCATGAGAATGCTCTGAGCCTCGAACCCCTGAATTAGAGAGATCCCAGGAATATTCTTCTTATACCCTCAACCCGGAATCTTGGCTACAGGGGCTGTGTGCCCTGGCTGAGGTGGGGAGAAGCCTTGCCTGCCCACACACTCCCTCAGTGATCAGCCTCTGGGCCCTGCCCTGGTGTGCCTGTGTAGGCAGGGGGGTGGGGTGGGGGAAGGTCAGGCTCGCCCACTCCTCTCAGGGGCTTGTGCCTCCTGGGGTTTGTGTGGCCACAGAGAGGCCAGAGGGCAGGGCAGAGGGGCTCATAGTTGCAGGGACCTGGAGGAAGGCCATCTCAAACCTGGTTCTTAGTGGCTTTTGGATCTGGCCACTGCCTCTGGCCACACAGTCCTGGCCACCAGGCTCAGCTCGTGACAGAAGCTCCAGCCTATCCTTGATGGGGAGGTGCCCGGCAGCCCCCTGACATGGGCACAGAACCTTTGCCCCAGCCACAGTCCTCCCAGCAGTTACTGTAGCACCTCTGGTGGGGGTGAGTGGCCAAGCAGATCTCTCTGAAGGTCAGCTCAGCGGGGGAGGCATCCCCCAGCCTGCTGCCTGCAGCCTGGCTGGGAGGAAGCACCTCCCTCTTCACGCCCTTGTGCCAGGCAGTGGGTGGGTGGCTAGGTGGGCAGGCTGGGGCTGGGGCAGTGGCACATGCTCCCTTTCCCCCTCCTGGGGCTGAGCCCCTTTGCAGGATGGGGAGGGCCCCGGGCTGTACTGCTGCTGTGTTTGCCCACACCCCCAGCCTTGGAAGAAACCCTGTCCTTGGCCGGAGTGGGGAGGTTTGGCTGGGGTCTGCTCTCACCCTGAGTGCCGGACTTGTGTATCCAGCCCTGGGCCTACACAGAGGTTCCTCTGCCCACCCTTCCGAGGATGCACCATGTGGCCACACACACCCGGGAAGCACAGGCCCCTGAGAGGAATGTGTGCCAAGGGCAGGCTGCAGGAGCCCCAGAATCATGGAGTCCCGACCAGGTCACCAGAACCATTGACCTTTCCCGTAGGGCCCCTGGCCGGGCTCTTAGTAAGCTTAGGGGCCCCAACAGGACAGCTGGCTGTGCCCAGGAGTGGTGAGGAGCAGGGGCAGGCCGATACTCCGACACCTACAAGGCCCCCAGGATTCAGGGACCCCTGGGATGTAGCCAGTCATGTTTTGCTGGGGGGTTGGGGTGCCGTGGCCAGCTTCCGGCTGAAAGCACCTGGCCGGCCCTTTCCGGACTCTGCTTCAGCACTGTGTCAAGTGCTCCCCCGCCTTCTGCCTGTGCTGCCTTAGGGAGGGCGACT